CACACACACACACACCTACCACCTCACACAAGACTCCCACACAGGTAACAGTACAAGAACTTTTACAAAGAATTTTCCCAAACTTGTTATGACACATTAACTAAGACTCTCTCTGTATGAGGAGGGACGGAAGGGTGGGCGTAAGTGTGGATGGTGGTAGCAGAGGGTGAAGAGGTGGCAGGGTGTCAGAGGATGGCAGGGGTTTCCAGACGGTGTAATCTCCCTATTTTCCAACAGTTGCAACAATAAGAAGTAAAAAAAAAAAAAAGATCATAATTCCAATTAAACAGCTGGGGATCAAGGTGGCCCCTGGAGGCACACCATGACTCAGTAACACCGGGGTTGAGCTTCACGCCCTCAGCCTCCTCTTCTCGCCAGCAGCTATCAGCGAGGAGGAAGCTGCTCAATAAAGTAGAGGATTCGCTTCTCACACAACTTCTAGTCAACTCGAAATTGGCATTGTAATCCGTGACACAATACAACCCATACTACTTCTTACATACTACTACTACTACTACTACCATTACTACTACTACTACTACTAATACTACTACTACTACTACTGTGGCCTCCATCCTCCCTCAATAGCCACACCTTTCGCCATTTTATTACCTAAAATTAAATATCCTATTACTACTACTATCACATTAAGCTACTACAACAACCACTACAACCACCACGACTACAACAACCACTACTACTAAAAAATTTACAACTCTAGTTGTGTTGGAATTTATCAGACGAGTGCCGACAGGTAAGGCAGCGGCTGATGAACCTGTGTCACTGTGGGGTGGGGGGGACTGTCATTCTGGCCAACAGGAACATACTGATTGCCAAGGTCGACTGAGTAAGTGAAATCAGAATCCACTAGGGTGATGGTCATGCATGTGTGTGTGTGTGTGTGTGTGTGTGTGTGTGTGTGTGTGTGTGTGTGTGTGTGTGTGTGTGTGTGTGTGTGTGTGTTTTAGTCTATAGAGGAAAAGAGAGGTAACCAGTAGCATAACAAGAGGTAAAATATAGGTAACAGAAAACTAAATCCTCACTACACTCCAGCCACCTTCACATCCCCTGGGTGACCTGAAACTGGCCCCAGGATCGAATCGGTGACCCCCCAGAAAGGACGACGATTACTCAAGATATTAAGTAATGGTACTCAAGGGGTCAAGTCATGGTACTCAAGATAGAACATCATACATACATACATACATACGTACTACTACACCACATACTACTACATTCACGTCAGGCCCCTCATAACACCATCTGTGAGGGAATTACTACACTGACGTCAGGCCCCTCATAACACCATCTGTGAGGGAATTACTACACCACGTGAGGCCCTCATAACACCATCATTGTGAAGGGAATTACTACACCACGCCAGGTCCCCTATAACACCATCTGCGAGGGAATACTACACCACGCCAGGTCCCTTCATAACACCATCTGAGGGAACTACTGCACGTGAGTTCCTCCTAACACCATCTGGGAGGAGTTACTACCATGAGTTTGCTGTTCAACACCTACATTAATCTGTATGTTCACTTGTATGTTCTTTACTCTTTCTAATGAAGGCTTTTTGTTAAACCACCAATGTATGTATAAGTCATTTATGTCCAATTATATTTTCAGCCTCCTGCAGAATTTTTTTCAATAAAACCGTCATATTATTATTATTATATTATACATGTACACACATACAAATAGATAGACAGCCAAACAGATAGATAGGAGGGGAGGGTGGGAGGGAGGGGGGGAGGTATGGAGGAAACTGTGATGGAGAGGTAGAGGATGGGGAGGAGGAAACGTATGAGTGGAGAGGTGAGGAAACGGTGAGAGAGGGGGAGGAGAGGGAGGGGAGGGGAGGTGTGAGGGGTATGATTCATGTGAATTATGAATTAATCTCTTGACGTCACCATGAGAGGTGTTGTGATATGGTGTTATGATGTGTGTTTTTGTGTGTCTGTGACCCCAAAAAACCCAAGCATGGACCCCAAATTGTGTGTGTGACTCAACAAAACCCCAGAGAGAATGTGTGACCTGTGACTCACATGGTATAGATATATAGTTAGATAGTAAAAAATTCTTCCTTCAGGTAGGTAGGTAGGTGTGTGTGTGTGTGTGTGTGTGTGTGTGTGTGTGTGTGTGTGTGTGTGTGTGTGTGAGAGTTAGGGCTGTTGATGCTCCTCCTCACCCCCTCGCCTGTCTGTCAGTCTGTCTCGCCCACTCGTGTCCTCTATCACCCCGAGGCCTATCTGCCTCTCCTCACTAACTCTCTCACTAACCTAATCCAACCCAACCCCAACTCAACCCAACTCAACTCAACCTAAGTATCAGGAGTTTTACATCAGCACATCAAAAATAAACACTGACTGAACCTGACATTGGACTTTGCCTTTCATGACCACATTTGCTGGGCATGAAAGTCTCTATTTATTCATGCACAAAAAACACGATCAAGAAGTGTTGAAATGTTGAGATAATATCCACGACATTGGAGGGGGAGAGGGGAGGAGAGGGGGATGAGGGAGAGAGGGGGGGAGGGGAGGGAGAGGGATGAGGAGGGAGGTGGGGGATATTTGACTATTTAATGGTGATGGTGTGAGGTACGATGGAGGAAGTGGGTAGGTCTGAGGAGTGGAGGGAGACGATGACTGATCCTGAGGGAAGATGGGAAGGCAGGTGACATTTAATGAACAAAGACAACATTTCATTTCCATGTTGGTTTAAACGAACAAAAATCTGTCCCTGACATTTACAAAACAATGTGTATACAGGTAAAGGCCAAGAGTTCAGTGACGGATAGAGAGGCTGGGACCCCATGACCAACGTAAACAGGACACGAGTAGAACCAGTTTTTTATTATCTGTTTGTTTGTGTACATCGTTCAGACCTTGGACTTGACCCATCCTCCTGTAGGTTATCAACAAACCCAGATGTATTGGTTAGGTTAGGTTATGGACAGATGTACAGGTATTGGCAGAGGTACAGACAGATGTACAGTATTGGTAGAGGGACGGGCCAAAGCTTTTACCTAATCGACCACAATGCAATCATCAACAAAGCTATCGACCTCGGGTTTCAAAAAGTCTTATACCATGGTTTAGAGATTCTCAGTGACCGACGCCAAGCTGTACTCTTCTGAGGGGCTGCCACCATGTAACAAATAAAATGGGTTTATATGTGAGCCTAATTTTAGTGTATCATAATTTTTATACCAACTTAATCTTTCTTAATAAGGGAAGGATGAATTAGGTCTCTTATTAACGGTTGCTGTGTTTATTGATTACTTTATATAAGGGTTTAACAGTTACACCTCAAAACAATAAACCTATGTTCCTAGCAAGTTAAACGGGGACCACGTATCTCACAACAAATGGGAACTTAAGGATTTACCAAACAGAATACACCATACTGCCATGTTGTCACCACAGACGTCACACACACCCCTACACAAAATTCCAACACAGACTCCTGTTCAAACCGCGTCAGCCTACAAGAGACGCCACACTTTTGACGTCACGCCTCATAGGCTTTCTCATTGGTCGAAAACAGGCCTAAGGCCTTCACACTATTGGCTCAGTTGGCGGGAATTCCCGGGTGGTGGGAAACTCATGACATTGTTACACAACTTTTCAGTCACTCACCTGTGGCATCCCCCAAGGTACCAAGTTGGGACCACTATGCTTCCTTATGCTTATCAATGATGCCCTAAGAGAAACCCCTGCTCGCTGGAAATATGTCGACAACTCAGCTCCCGACTACACCGCCCTCCAGGATTTATTGAACTGTCTCCAAAATTGTGCCGCCAACAACCACGTCACCATCAACTATACCAAGACTATGGTTATACACATCAACCTCTCCTCCAACCTTATCCCACCTCCCTCCATTACTTTGGGCCCCAACACACTCCAGGTTGTGGACCCCACTAAGCTCCTCGGCATCATCATAGACAACAAACTAAATTGGAAAACATACATCATCAGTACAGTTGTCAAATCCTCCAGTTTTCATCTCCACCTCCTCCACCAATTCAAGTCCCTCAGAGTTCCTGCATCCGAGCTCCTCAGTGTTTACTCAGCCTTCATACTTCCCAAGCTCACCTATGCCTCCCCTGCCTGCATGCAAGATTATTCTCTCCCCTTCCTACTCCACATATCAAGAAGCGCTCAACACACTGACCCTCTCGGCTCTCTCTGACCATCACCACGACCTCATCTGCAAATTTGGTGAGAAGCTTCTGCACCATCCTCGACACCGGCTCCTACTACCACCTGAGATCCCTAGCCCGAGAATTGCTGTTTGACACCACAACCGCATCCAGCCCATATGAGCAAGCTGATCGTTATAAGAACAGCCCAGTCTCAACCATTGTAAAAATTATCACCAACTTGTAATCAACCAGTGTATTCACTCCCAGTCAATCTTACCTTTTTGTACTGTCACTATATTGAAATGCCCTGAAGTATGACCTTCTCCCCACTTAGATATTATACTGTTCAGGTATATCATATTTGTATCACTTACGTTACTTGTATATCATTTGTCAATCAAGTGGCCCATTCTCCAATTATATAACTACTATTTTCAGCCTTCCGGCTGCAATGCTCTTTCAATAAACCATTAATTATTATTATTATTATTATTATTATTATTATTATTATTATTATTATTATTATTGTGTGTTGACAGATGTACAGGTATTGGCAGTTTTCCTTCATATCAACCTCTATGGATGAGTTACTGCACCACGGGACACGGTGTTTCCATGACCAGATGTACAGATACTGGCAGAGGTACAGACAGAAGTATGGATAGCAGTACCTAACCTAATCTAACCTAACCTCTCACAAAGTTAAATATAAAATACTTATACTTATTCTGTCCACTGAACCATAGATTTCTAAAGTCAATTTCTTTTTTTTTAATAAACTCCAGAAAATAAACAAACTCCTGTATTCAACCTTAAGACTACAAGAGGTAGGAGCAGTACTCACTCATCTGTGGGTTGGGCCTCACCCCAGGCCATCTTGGGGGTCTTAGCACCTTGGAGGGAAGTAACTTTGTACCCTGAGGAGTCAGTACGTGCCTCAGGGATGATCCGGAGCCCGACCGAGCTTCTGACCCTAAATCACTTGGGGTCGGCACTGTCTGTCGTGCAAACCTTTTGGACGGTGATCTGTGCGAGGGAAAGAGAACGTGGATGTTACTTTCATGGCCATATGAGGTTTACTGACAAAGTGTCAGTGGTACAGAGGTAACGTGCTTGCCTCTCACCACTAAGGTCATGGGTTCAAATCCCCTGGTTGGATGTGAGAACGGCGCTATCCAATCCGACATCACCAAACACTTCAGGTTTTCTCCTACACTTGCACTACACTTTTCTCCTATACTAACACTGGACCATGGTGGATGTCCCTCTTGTCCATAAATTATACAGTAACCTTAAACACATTATAAATAAAACACAAGTGGAAGTTTACTAAGACAAGTTATTAAGTTTTAAATGAGTCACATATTACACAAAGATTAAGGCAGTAGACAGTAATATAACCAACAACTGTTATGATAATGAATGTATTGAAAGAATAATTACTCAAAGATTCATAAAATATAGTATACAGTACAGCAGAGGTAGACTGTAGGGAGGAAAGTAGAGGGTGCTGAGCAAATAGCACTTGGCAAGAAAGGCTTTTCCCATATGCCACAATTAAAGAGCAATTAGAACCAGATTCTATGGCTGCTTAATATTTTGAGTTGAGCGCAAAATGCAGAATTCATCTTGAGGTGGGCCACCGTCCCTACAGCTAACTTCCACTGATGATGGCCACCGTCCCTACAGCTAACTTCCACTGATGATGACCACCGTCCCTACAGCTAACTTCCACTGATGACTGCTGCCATAAGAGTTAATTAACCAATAAAACACATCACTATACATTCATCATACAACATTAACACATTCATAAGCTTCACTCTATTAAACCAGTATTATTCACAAGGTGTATCTATAAACTGTAAATAAATACTTTAATAAATGCAACAAACATTCATCCTCTTCTTCACATACATTTCATACAGACTTTCTATAAAAAACACCAAATTGAACCCCAAAAAAAGACAAATAAGAATAAAATAAAATAAAAATAAAATAAAAATGAAATTAAAAAAATATACAAATTACAAGAAACAAAATAAAACAGAAAAAACACATAAGAAAATAAGAAAAACATAGTGAAAATAATAAGAAAAAAACGTATGCTAATTACAAACAATAAAGACAATTCCTACTGGAGCTAAGTGTCTCGATATATAACATAATTTAACTCTACACCGTTGGGACTCACCGGACAAAGGTACGTTCAACTCTAGCCCGCCTTTTGCAATCTTCCACTGTCTGAAACTCTGTCCGCCCGCTGTAACGGAACTTGCTGCCCAGAGTCAATAGATTTCTGCAATACGACAAGTGACCTGTGAGCTTAGTCTGACCCTGGTATACTGTATGTATCACCAACAGCTTAATGTATACCTTATAGTATGAATTACCAACAGCTTAACCTAACCTTAATATACATCACCAACAGCTTAATCAAACCTAGTATGTATTACCAACAGCTTAACCTAACCTTAATATGCATCACCAACAGCTTAATCAGACCTAGTATGTATTACCAACAGCTTAACCTAACCTTAATATGCATCACCAACAGCTTAATCAAACCTAGTTCGTATTTACCAACAGCTTAACCTAACCTTAATATGTATTACCAACAGCTTAACCTACCCTTAATATGCATCACCAACAGCTTAATCAAACCTAGTATGTATTACCAACAGCTTAACCTAAACTAAATATGGTGATATCTCTGTTAGCCGGAACAATTGATGCAGAACACCTCCGGGAATGAGAGATTTCCGGGGAATGTGACGACTCTCTCAAAGCTGGATAAAAATCCCTCACCCACAGAATTTTCCGGGTAACGAAAAAATATTCTCGGAAGTTAATGAAATTGCCCATTACTGTACGTCATCTCTCAAACCTAGAAAAATATCCCCCATCCCAGGAATTTTCTGGAGAATGTACCCCTTGGAAAATCATTCCCAATGCCAGAATTTTCTAAATTTTCCGGCTTTGGGACAGATTTTCCAAGAAAATTTGCATTCCGGCTATTGGAGAGTTCCAGGTTTGAGGGTTTGTGACTAACGGAGATATTACTGTACAGTGTGTATCACCTACAGCTCAGTATGTATCACCTACAGCTCAGTATGTATCACCTACAGCTCAGTATGTATCACCTACAGCTCAGTATGTATCACCTACAGAGGACAGGGTAACACGGGACATGAACAAAATAATAATAATAGACAAATGTAACACTCATACATGTACACTATTAGTTCTCATACACTCAATCACATCTGTTACAGCACCCTAACGAGCGGACATTACACTGGAGCCGTGTACTGAACTCTATCACTATGTACTTCATTATTATATAGAGATAAAAGTCTTATATCAAGGTTCCACTGTATACCAAACCTTTATAAAGTTAACAATATCTAGCAACTCAAGACACAGGAATACTTAATTAAATTTTTTTTATGAATTTTAGAATATAATCGTTCTTTCCACGATCATTTTGTCCACTGTACAGTAGTATAACTATTATAGATTCCACCATGTTATAGTCTTCGAAGGGGAGGGGAGGAAGGGGAGGTGAAGGAGGAGGAAGGGAGGGGAGGGTTATTGGATGTTTGTAAACTCCCTTCCCCCTCCTTTCTGTGTCCCAGAATACATTACCATACACATTATAAGGAACTTGTAACATAAATCTATACTTTTGTAGTTTATCTTCCTCAACTGTGTACATTTTTTTTTTCTCGAGACAATTTGGGCAAGTTTAGGGGCGACCAGACATCATCTGAGGCATGTTCCTACTCGCCCACATACATACCGGCACCACAGCAACGAACAACAAAAATAAACTGTGGGTTCGTTACTTACTTTCTAGCGGGCGTCCTGGGAGTGTGCAGCCGGAAGAAAGTGTGGTGTTCAACGCAGGATTTCCATAAACACTTACACGCCCGGTAGGAAGCGAGGTTAAAGCCTAACACACTGTCGTAATTCTCAGACTGCAAGAGAAGACGACAACCCAGTAAGTATAAAGACCGAATTAAATGTTTATCTTGTTCCAAATAAGATAAATAAAGAGACAGGATAAACTTACCACACAACACCAGGAAGAGTCATGTTATCTATTACCTGATGTTATATCAACCAACTCATTACTGTATGTATCTCTCTCTCTCTCTCTCTCTCTCTCTCTCTCTCTCATCTTAAGCTACAAAGTTTTGAGAAAATTAACATACTGTTTTGTCTCCAACATGAATCTATGTTTAAACTTTCAACTCTAAATTATTCTCTCTACTTCTGTATGTTCAAAGTACTTATAAACCCTTGGTAAACTATCATTATCAGTCAACAATTTCTTTTAAAATATTGCAAGACTTTTTCCTCTATGGTCCAGGCCTCTATGATATTGTTAATGCAGGCCTACACAGTCCCCCCCCCCCCCACACACACAGCATTACACAAGAGAACCTTTATGTTATATACTAGTTCTGAAAACTAATACAATATACATTCAGATGTCACCAAAATATGTAATAATTGTATTTGAATTCATTTAATCTCTATAATCAATAAATTGTATTGGATAAACAAGATTTTAAACACAATTCTATTTTTTAAACACAATTGATTCTCTTGACGATGAAACACTGGAGATAAATAATGTAATTTGATCTATACTTTATGTTTATCCGTCTTCATCTTTAATCATCTCCCAGGCCAGATAAATACACAGTACAGTACAGCAATTATCACACAACTACTGTATTAGACAAACAAACAATGTTATCCACACTGAAAGCACTAATGGGTTATAGCAAACACCTCTATATAATGGACTAGAGCCAGAGGAAAGTCCGTTATGTCGAGGGTTCTTTAGGTGAGAAACCCCCAACTAACAGATTATATGGAGAGAAATCAGTTATATAAAGGTTCCACAATAAGTAACATACCATAACAAGCAATACAGTTATGAGGGTCAAGTTCTAGTTATATACACATCCAATATTCCTCTTAACCAAACTAAATTAATAGTAAATAAAAAGAGACAAAACTTTGGTAAGTGAACAAAATGATGACTTTTTCCAATGTTATATGGAGTTACGGTACATCAGTAGTGAACATAACGATGTTCTTCACTATGGGGTGACTGCTGTGTTTTACCCCCAAATAAACCGAACGTTATCTACACGACTGAAAATATACCACGACTCTGGGGAGTGTTGTAATAACCCTAAAGAGCCAAAACCACGAAGGAAAAATGATGAACGTCTCGACACTCAGTCAAATATATGTACAGTATAATCATCTACCTGAAGCTGTGTCATGGGAGAGTTAGTGATCAACACAAGTCATGCTTTTAGTGTACACACTGTTCATAAATCAACTGACCCATTTTATACACACTGTCCATAAATCAACTGACCCATTTTATACACACGGTTCATAAATCAACTGACCCATTTTATACACACGGTTCATAAATCAACTGACCCATTTTATACACACTGTCCATAAATCATCTGACCCATTTTATAACCCTTAAAAATATTACACACACACAACACAACCCACATGTACAGAATTACTAAGACAAAAGAAAATCTTGAGTTGTTCATCAAATATAATTAAAAACCTCTTTCTATATTAAATGTTTCAATAAATCAGATAAATTATGAACAACTAATAGTAGTCAAACATCACCTTCCACACACACACACTGAGGTGGGCGGTGCATGCAAGAGCAGTACAGTAAGCACATTGTGACAGTTAGTTCAATAAACCTGTCAGGAGATCCTTATGCAAAATACTGGTAATTCAATATATACAGTACAAACAACTACAGTAATATCAGCAATTGTGAGTTTAAGATTTGGTATAACTCAAGAACAACCTCAAGGTATAACTCAAGAACAACCTCAAGGTATAACTCAAGAACAACTTCAAGGTATAACTCAAGAACAACCTCATGGTATAACTCAAGAACAACCTCAAGGTATAACTGAAGGTCACAAGAGCTGATTTCCTCATTAGCAACAGATCATTGAAGCAGAATAAATCATCAGTCTGTCAGCAACAATGTACCGTACTACCTTTTTATACAATCTTTTCTTGACAATTTGTAGAAAAGAGCTTGGGTCTTGCTTACTGTCGGCCTGGTCTGTCTATGTAGAACAATACAAAAAAAAAGGTATGGTAAAATAATGCTTCCTTTTAGATAATGTCTAGCTCATAAATTCATGAAACTTTTCACTGAACACATTATTATACTAAATCCTATTATGGAGAATATTATAGTAAAGATTCAAAAGACTCTAGCTGAAGATTCAATAGGGCATGAAGGGTAGATGAAGATTCAATAGGGCATGAAGGGTAGATGAAGATTCAATATGGCATGAAGGGTAGATGAAGATTCAATATGGCATGAAGGGTAGCTGAAGATTCAATATGGCATGAAGGGTAGATGAAGATTCAATATGGCATGAAGGGTAGATGAAGATTCAATATGGCATGAAGGGTAGATGAAGATTCAATATGGCATGAAGGGTAGATGAAGATTCAATATGTCATGAAGGGTAGATTATTAAGGTGCTAAGCGTACAAAAGATTAACTCAGCACACATCCTGACCCCAGAAATCGACTTTGTACCAGAGAAAAATAGTGCTGCTCCTCCATTCTTATACAGTAAAGTGATATCTCTGTTAGCCGGAACAATCAGAAGGATGAAGCATAAACCCTGTATAGGGTAGAAAAAAGAGTCGGGCTTCCTGTTGAAACAAGAATCTGATTTGGATGCCATTGGTTGATTAGTCACTATCAATGGGAGCGCCTCACTTGGTGCAGAGCACTTTCGGGAATGAGAGATTTCCGGGTAATGAGACGACTTCTCAAAGCTGGAAAAAATCCCCCATCCCCGGAATTTTCCAGGGAAAGGAAAAGTTTCTCCGAGTTTTCCAGAAAATGTGCCCTTTGGGAACGATTTTTCGAGAAAATTTCAATTCCGGCTATCGGAGAGTTCCGGGTTTGAGGGATTCCGGCTAACGGAGATATTACTATATTTCATTATATTCAGTTGGTCTATTCGTCATCAGCATCCTGAGCCGTACAGCGAACATGCCATTTGAAGTGAGAATAGAGGTCTGAGTGACAATGTTTGCTAATAATAAACTTGTGCTGCTACCACTGAGGTGATTAATATGTCGCTCATCATTATTTTGACATATCAAATAGTTTTGTACACTGTTACTCACACCATAATTTAATAACTTTACTGTCACATCTATAATCATCACTTTACTCTCACTTCTATAACAACCTCAGATCATTCTATCCCATTACTTCTCTTTCTTTAATTAAGGTTTCTGTGTTCATCAATCCCGAACCTAACCAAGAGGTAAATTGCAGTACAGTTACATAAATACTGTACACACATCGATCCCACAAGTCAGGTCACACACTAATACATAACTCGTCCTGCCGTTAACTCCACCTAAACTTTAACCCTTAACTAACATCCTGAAACTGATTATGAGAGCGTTTAAAAGTTTATATAATGAAATAATACCCCAGTTAAGATATGTATAAAGTTACGTCCCCATAAACTGAAGCTAGTACGATAGAATGAGAGGCTTCAGTTCCCGACGGCAACACTGGCACACACACAAAAAGGTAGGTACAGTAATTGTCTTTTCTCCACATCCTTAGAGAGGCCAAATATGTACAGTAGAGAATCGACAAAACCACAGTGAATAATTTTGTAGATGAGCGAACTTCAATTTGACTGACGTTCTTAAGATAATTTTCAAAAACAAAAATAAACATACATTATTATTTATTGTTTTTTAGAAGACTGACACACACACACACACACAAACAGATAGACAAAGATTAAGACTTTTCATTCATTTAAGCACTAAACATAAACTTGCTTTACTGTCATGTTGAATATATTTGACCATGCTTGACATATGACAGGACACATTTTTCTATGATCTGAGAATAGATAAAGTGAACTCATATAACTTTGAAGGTTCATTCTACAAGCACAAATAAAGCACATAGAACCTTCAAATGCCAAGCTGCCTTCATATACAAAGACAGTCCATGACAGTTAAAAGCACCTATTTTATGGGTCACAAATTAAAATACAAACCACACAATACAAATTCTGTTGAACCAATAATTTCTAAACTGTAGTATCAAATGTAACTTACATGTATCTGTTGTGTCACAGGTAAATGAAACATATTTATAACATCTATGGGAAAATATACGGGTAGGTAGTGGAGCCATTTTTCTCATAAACAAGACGACAGGAAAATGTTGAAAATATGACAGGTGCACTGAGGCCAGTACTGTACTGTACTGTACTGTACTGTACTGTACTGTACTGTCAAGTTTAAAGGCCTCATCACCTACACTAATGGACTATTATCAATTCAATAATTGTTGACTTCAATAAAATATATTCAAAACAAATTTAATGAACTAAAAACAGAAGAACATTGAACAATATCCTGAAATTTTAACAAAAACACAAGAGCTGTAGAAAAATTCTTATATAACTTAATAAATAAATATCTTTGAAATTGTTTAAAATGGTCATATTTATCTTACCAGTTCTCTTCGAAGCTGAATAAAAAATTGTTTCCGTTTAAAGGAGATTTTGACAATCTTGGCCCAGCTAAAAGTATTTATTTTGATTGCATTCTGGAACACGACCAGACCGATCGCAGTTACACCCAAGTGTATCTCGCGGTTGGTTGAGTCCTGAAAGAGATAATATCGAGGTTAACGCACGCTGGACCTCAAGACATGAGCATCGCATGGGGTATATCATAAGTCACGCATCATAGGAATAATAACAAATCACTGAAGACGACAGAGAAACTTAACACAAGAGGAAAGACTCAGTTTAACCTTTACCACTGGATGCCATTCAGCAAAGAGACACAAGCAGTTAATAATGAGAGCCAGATGCCACACACTTATAAATAATAACCTACACCCTCACTCACCAAGATCGTCCATAAACCATAGACAAATAACATAACATCTCAAGGCAACAAGATCACAAAAGGCACCGTGTTCGAATAAAATCAACGTGTGTTTTGAAGAAGATGCTGAAACATATGAAAATTTGCCATAATCAAGTATTTTCTCTATAGTGTGTGACTTATGAGACACCCTGTATAAAAACAATGATTTATTTAAACAATTCATCTCTCTCTCTCTCTCTCTCTCTTTCTCTCTCTCTCTCTCTCTCTATGACCAACACAAGTACTCCCGTCATACACTGCCATATGTGGTCTGACTATTACAGAATAACAACAAGTTAATATTTTATAACAGCATCGTAACAAAAGGCAAACAGCTCAAGTTCCTCCTTCTACCAAACCTAATAAACCTTACTTACATCTACACACACAGGACTTAAAAAAAATACACCAAATAAATAAATATGATGACATAATATACAACAGACACTTTATCCTGACACCTCATGCAGACTTACCCGGGCTTTGTGTAAGTCAACTCCATAGAGATCTAACCGCTTAGCATGATCTAAGAAATTGAACTCTGCATCTGCCGGAGACTGCCCTCTGTAAGTAAGAGTATACAGTCAGAATAGGAGATTGTTTCCACCCAAAAAAATCTATGTTAAATATAATAAAATAAAATACTGTAATAGTGTATATCGGTGTATATTTTAGTAAAGTATTGTAAAAACCTAATGACACAATTATCTCCACTTTCATCAACATTTTTTTACATTTACTTGAGCCATGTAGGTAAATTATTACAAACACAGCAATTTAATTAGACAATTAACAGTACATCATAATATTTACAGCATAACAACAATGATACTTTATAAAGAAATTCAACTTAATATGAGGGGCACAGAACAGAAGCAAGACAAATCACGTACACGAAAAATAAATAAATAAATAAAAAAATACCATAGTTAAGTTATTCAAGTGACAGATTGTAGCAGTGTTAGTTGTGAGAGACATCATATGTTTTGGGTCACTTGTTCAGTTCTGTAGTCTTCATATGATACTGAAAAATGATATAACGAATAGTGAAAGTTTACAGCTGCTAATTAAGTCGAAAAAATTTGAGTTCTCTTACTTGTGTAGTTTGTGAAGCTCAAGGATCTTTTTCTCCAGATCTTCACATTGGTTGGGCACGAGTCTCATGTCTGCTAGGTAAGTGTTCCCGTGCTCATCAGAACTATAGTCTCCCAGTTCAGCTGAAATATACATAAAATGTATTAAAGGACCATTGACAGTACAAAAATACTCTCTAAATGATGGGGTTCAAATTTGGTATTTATAAACCAAAGTTTCCATAAATCTAGATCATTAAAACACTTTTCTTTTTTTTAAGATTTGATGAAAAATTAATTAAATAGGACAGGAAGTATTACAGAAGTTCAGGTTTACTAATTAAACTTCAAAGACAAGATAAATACATTTTAAGCAACTCTTTCCACGTCCCTCTACAAATCACTCGCAACAGACTACATGATGCACTTGTGTTGGGAATTTTGCTTCACCACCAGACACACAAATATCACTACCCTAAATATGTAGCCAAATAAAACAAATTATTTAGTATTTTTCTTTTTATAATTCATATAAAGCCAAAGAAAAAAAGCCTGGTCTTCACCTTCTGACACCAGGGGGTTCTTGTATGACATTCCAGCATAAGAGGTCCTTATATGAGGTGCTGTGGGGTGAGGCACCAGCCCAACACTGTACAGTGAAGCCTCCCAACATATTAACACATCTCTACCTTGAAAAGTGTCCCTAAGAATACTTTTGAATGGTTTTCTTGCTGACAATATATACTTCTCTAGTGTATAAAGTAAAAAATAAATAAAAGTTAAATTACCTGATCATTTGGCAAAATTTCAAGTGGATAGTTTGAAAGGATAATGTACACAGGATTAATGTGGTATGGGTGATGGAGGGAAGGATGGTACGGTACTCACATTGGAGGGCATATGAGGCTAGGAGGGCAGCAGTGGACGGCTGGGCACCAAGGCGGCCCTCAAGAACATCCCGTCGCAGCTGGAGGAAGACGTGGTAGCGTGTGTACTCTTCTGTTAACTTCCCAGGATCGCTCACCCAGAACTTGACCCGAAAGTATAGCACCGGCAACCCACCTGCCGAGGTTAACATTACACGTCAACATTACCTTATTACACTGTACAGTACTATGAAGAATCACAACATTACTTTATATTACGAGCGACCACGACATTACCTTATTCTAAAGTGGCTGACTCAGAGCCACCATAATATTAACTTATACTGTACCATAAGCGATTAGTGATTCAGCATTACCTTATACCAAAGCGGCCGACCTTGCACAAAGCGGCCGACCTTGCACAAAGCGGCCGACCTTGCACAAAGCGGCCGACCTTGCACAAAGCGGCCGACCTTGCACAAAGCGGCTGACCTTGCACAAAGCGGCCGACCTTGCACAAAGCGGCCGACCTTGCACTAATATTGGCCACTAAAAATATTAGTTTAGTACATACATTATAATATAAATGTAGAGGATTAGATCATTTTCAACGCCATAATTCTTAACAGCTTCAGTTCAAATCCTTGTCGTCTGTGCAGCTCCTGAGGGCCCCTAAACTCCCTGTTCAGTTAACATCCAATAGTTTGGTGTATAGGTTGTGGCACTCATGAGATACTGGACCCTCAACCCTCATGGTATGTGTTGGCCATTTATCATCACGTATTCACAATGAGTAAGGCATATACTCAACACTTTACGTCAGAGTGGCTTAAAGACATACTCAACACTTTACGTCAGAGTGGCTTAAAGACATACTCAACACTTTACGTCAGAGTGGCTTAAAGACATACTCAACACTTTACGTCAGAGTGGCTTAAAGACATACTCAACACTTTACGTCAGAGTGGCTTAAAGACATACTCAACACTTTACGTCAGAGTGGCTTAAAGACATACTCAACACTTTACGTCAGAGTGGCTTAAAGACATACTCAACACTTTACATACTCAACACTTTACATCAGAGTGGCTTAAAGACACGATATATCAACACTGGCTGAGGAAACAAGAGGGGATGATACAAAAGTATCTCCGGTGATATTTCCGTCAGCCACAATAATTGGTACAGAGCATCTCCGAGAATGACAGATTTCCGGGTAACAAGACGACTCTTTCAAGACCCGAAAAAAATCCCCATCCCTGGAATTTTTCCGTATATAAGAATTTTATCAGAATTTTCCAGAAAGGTGCATTATTTCATCTCTCAACTCGGAAAAAATCCCCATCCTCGGAATTTTCCGGGTGCTGGGGAAATTTCCATGGAATTTTCCAAAAAATGCGCCCCATGGAAAAGCACTCCCAAACCCAGAATGTTCCGGAAAATTCTGAACAAATTTCAATTCCATCTAGCGGAGAGTTCCGGCTAAGAAGGATTCCTCTGGAAACGTAATAGAATAAAGAATTTTTATTTTTGGGAAACGTTATTCTTCAGTCCAGCCACGAAATCAGGCACAAGAAGTATTATATATATTATATATATATATATATATATATATATGCTGATAACCACAAGGAAAGAAGAAAACACGAAGTTCCCAATTTTTTTTTCCCCAGATGCTTAAACATATAATAGATATATCTTATCTAGTAGGTAGTAGGCAGCTATCAAGCAAGGAGGTACTAATGTAGTGGATTTCTCCCCTACAAACGCTGTTTGTCGTTGCGTAGCCGACCCCGCGAATTCCCCAGTGTATGCCTCGTGGTCTGGGTCAACCAGCGCCGCCATACATCACGGGGGTCAACTACTAAGCCACGCCAAGCCCCGCTATTTAAGACCTGACCTCGTGGTGATCTCTCTCTTTTCTACCTACACCAACCAGCCAGCAACACCTCCTCCCCCTCCGCCTGCCTGGCGGTCCTCGCTCCTGCCGGCCAGCATAGCGACCCACAGGCTGGTCCTCCTCTGAGCATCCTCACCAACCAGCTCTCTCTACATCATGCTTGTAACCATGCTGCCACTTCCCAGCACCAAGCTGCATTGTACATCCAATACAACATGTATACAGAGAGCACAATGTGAGTTTCCTTTCTCCATCCCATCCTGAGTGTGAACCAAAGAACCCGTACCCCACAAATGGTGACCCCCAGAAATTCGCACTCACACAGGATGGAGGAGAAACAAATGGTGACTCCCGGAGATTCGCACTCACACAGGATGGAGGAGAAACTGATCACTCTCCCAGTCTTAAAGCAACATGGAAGACTGGCTTACCCACGCAGAGGCAGCTCTCATCGGCTCTACAGCTATTGTCTCTAAACCGCAGGTTAGACACCCTAGAGCAGCTCTGCTACTCTAAGCAGACAGCCGCTCCTATTCCTGCCCCAAGCACCACGTCCTACCGACCTCAACACACCCGTCCTGCCTCAGACGCCGCCTCCGGCCCAGCAGTACCCCCTGCCGCTTCTCCTGATGCAGCCCCTGCTCCCGACGCAGCCCATGCGCCTGAGTGCGGACCCACACACCCCTCTTTTCTCCCTCAGGTACTCCCTGCTACTGTCCTGAAGCCTGCTGCTGTCATGGACCCAGTTGCTGTCACGAGCCCTCATCCGCTTCTGCTGACGCAGCCCCTGCTCCTGACCCAGGCCCACACACCCCAGCAGGAGAATCTGACGACTCTGTACCTGCCGTAAGGGAAGCACAACATTCATCGCCTCCACAACCCTTTTTCTCCCTCTCTTCTCCCATAGATCTTGTGTGTCTAGACAGTTGCCTCCACTAGCGGCCGGCTCATCCACGCCCTCGCCGTTATGTTTCACATGAGGCACGCACCGCCCGTTCTGCCTCACATGTGCCATGCAACCCTGCAGACAACAAGTCTCCTACACAGCCTGGAGGGAAGGAGGGAGTATTGTAGTGGATTTCTCCCCTACAAACGCTGTTTGTCGTTGCGTAGCCGACCCCGCGAATTCCCCAGTGTATGCCTCGTGGTCTGGGTCAACCAGCGCCGCCATACATCACGGAGGTCAACTACTAAGCCACGCCTACCTCCGCTATATAAGACCTGACCTCGTGGTGACCTACATCTCTCTTTTCTACCTACACCAACCAGCAAGCAACACCTCCTCCTGCCTGGCGGCCCTCGCTCCCGCCGGCGAGCATGGCGACCCACAAGCTGGTCCTCCTCTGAGCATCCTCACCAACCAGCTCTCTCTACCCAACGCTTGTAACCACGCTGCCACTTCCCAGCACCAAGCTGCACTATACATCCAATACAACATGTATACAGAGAGCACATTGTGAGTTTCCTTTCTCCATCCCATCCTGAGTGTGAACCAAACAACCCGTACCCCACACTAGAACCTGACTAATGTTAATCTCCCCCCACCCTTGTTTTGCTCTATATAAATAAGGCAAATACTGTGAGGAGAACTTCACAGCCACTTACCTCGTCTCGGTAAAACAATAAGTTCGCCCACGGAAGGTCTTAAGTTATACAAGGTTAGGTTAGGTTAGGTTAGGTTAGCTTAGGTTAACTTGAACTTTTAAAGAAACGCTTTTTAACACATTTGCCATAACTACAAGTGTCAGCTATAAAGCACAATGAAATTGCGGCATTTGTAAAATCGTTTTTTTTATGAGAAATGAGTGGCTGTGAAGGCGTAATAATTACCATAAATAAAAATATGAAATTATAAAATTGGAATAAAATCGGATTTTTACCCAAGTTTTTAACTTACGTTGTGACATCTAAAGAAGTTAACCTTACTCCTCTTCCCCTTCGAAATGCTGTGAAGAGGGAGGAATCGTCTTAGGAAAGAGGGTGGGGAGGGGGGGGTAAGGCAGGGATACGGTCCCGTCACTAAATGAAGTATTAAAAGTCGGTGGAAAGAATGAAGTAAATGATTGAAAATCTGGTGGGTGGCAATTCGATAACCAAGAGTAGATCCTTTATAGGGGTTGATGGTAACGGGGTTGGGAAGGGTCGAAGGTCGGGGGTGAAGGGGAACGGCGTTGGGAAGGGTCGAGGGTCGGGGGTGAAGGGGAACGGCGTTGGGAAGGGTCGAGGTCGGGGTGAAGGGGAACGCGTTGGGAAGGGTCGAAGGTCGAAGGGTCTGGGAAGAGGTCAAGAAGGGAACGGCGTTGGGAAGGGTCGAGGGTCGGGGGTGAAGGGGAACGGCGTTGGGAAGGGTCGAGGTCGGGGTGAAGGGAACGGCGTTGGGAAGGTCCGAACGGTTGGAAGGGTCGAAGGATGGAACTGAAGAGGAACAAGGTTCAGGTAGGGTCAGGGTGAAGAGGAACAAGGTTCAAAAGGTAGAGGGTCGGCGTGAAGGAAACGGCGTTGGGGAAGGGTCGAAGGTCGGGGTGAAGGGAACGGCGTTGGGAAGGGTCGACGGTTGGAACTGAAGAGGAACAAGGTCGAAAAGGTAGAGGGTCGGGGTGAAGAGGAACAAGGTTCGAAAAAGGTAGAGGGTCGGGGTGAAGAGGAACAAGGGTCGAGGGTCGGGGTGAAGTGGAACGGCGTTGAGAAGGGTCGACGGTTGGAACTGAAGAGGAACAAGGTTCGAAAAGGTCGAGGGTCGGGGGTGAGGTGGAACGGCGTTGGGAAGGGTCGAAGGTTGGAACTGAAGAGGAACAAGGTTCGAAAAGGTCGAGGGTCGGGGGTGAAGTGGAACGGCGTTGAGAAGGGTCGACGGTTGGAACTGAAGAGGTACAAGGTTCGAAAAGGTCGAGAGTCGGGGGTGAGGTGGAACGGCGTTGAGAAGGGTCGACGGATGGAACTGAAGAGGTACAAGGTTCGAAAAGGTCGAGAGTCGGGGGTGAGGTGGAACGGCGTTGAGAAGGGTCGACGGTTGTGGATGATACTTCAGCAGAGTCTTGAGGGGACTGGCAGGAAGACATGATCCAACACACGCGGCGTGCAGCTCTACTGCCTCACTGAGACGCTTGATTCAACAGTGTTGCCAAATATGGGTGATGAAAATTAGCTAGATTGGCCTAAAAAATCTGCTAGAAATCCCCTAAATACAATATTACTCACGTAGCCTACACAATATGCAAATGATATTAATAAGTAAAAATGCAAATGTTGTTGATTCAGCGAAAAAAATAGGCAGTCCTCTTCAGTCTCTACAGACACAGGCACTGACGAAGATCAAGATCTTGGACCAGCTTCTGATGCTTGTGATGTCATGAACTGTATGCTGCAATTGCGGCTATTTGCTTTACCACTTGTTTTGTCGGTTCATATTGTAGTGGATTCCTCCCCTACAAGCACCGAACCTTCTCGAATTCTCCAGCCAACGCCTCCAGCGCCGCCCACGGAGAGGGGGTCAACTATCTACCCACGCCTACCCCCGCCTTATTAGACCTGACACCGTTGTGACCACTCTCTACCTACACCAACCAGAAAGCAACACCACCTCCTCCGTTTCTGCCTGGCGGCCCTCGCTCCCGCCGGCGAGCATGGCGACCCACAAGCTGGTCCTCCTCTGAGCATCCTCACCAACCAGCTCTCTCTACATCACGCTTGTAACCACGCTGCCTCCTCCCAGCACCAGCCACCAAGCTGCATTGTACATCCAATATAATATGTATACAGAGAACACATTGTGAGTTTCCTTTCTCCATCCCATCCTGAGTGTGAACCCAAACATCACATAACCCCACAATATGAATGGCAACATTTTCCAACTCTTCTGAGTCCACTTTTCACGGCAATAATCGCACTGACTGAACTTTTATTCAACCGATTTCGATTTCTGAGCTTTGATTTAACAATATTTAGCTCGCTTAGCCTCTTGACCTCAGCATTGGAATGAGGGAGGGACATTATACCGATAGCTATTGACAGAGGTCACGAAAAGGATTTACTTCTGTAGCATCCTTGTAATTATATACCTCAATCCAATATTACTGCTGACGTGGTCTCGTGCCATTCAACAGTTGTTCAATTGCGCCACTGATTGTCAATTCGGTCAATATGCTCTAGATCAGTGGTTCTTAACCTTTTTTGAGTCACGGACCCCTTTGAGAATCTGGTGAAAGCTATGGACCCCCTCCCTAGAAAAATGCACATAAGCACATAAACACAACTTTGCATGCAATGAATATACTTTATTTTATTGAAAATTCATTGCCTCATACAGTGTATGACATACACAAAGTATGAATAAAGTAAACATTCTAGAAGTCAAAACCTGACGACGATGACGACTGTATGTTACCTGACCGTGTACAGTAGCACCCCATGCCACCCTACAGATTTACTGGTTTTCTTCAGTAACCAAAAATACATACATAACATCTGGTATATATTAACAAAAATAGAACAACTTAATAGAAAAATATAGTCAATATAAAAGTATGTAAAAATATAGTGAATATAAATGTTAAATTTTTATCTGACCTTCACGGACCCCCTGAACCCCATCCATGGACCCCAGGTTAAGAACCCCTGCTCTAGATGGTTCCCAATAAGGTCAGCTATCTCTAATATCGGTTCCTTCATAAAACTGAAAGATTCCACAACTGAAAACAGAGACATTGTCCTCCAAAATCTGAAGATATCACAAAGTCTGTTCTTTAACTCATTACAGCGACTGGTAACACAAGATATGCTGCAGCGTTGGGGAAGATTAGGCTCTGCCTCTTCTGTTAGCATTGAGACGGTACAAGTCTTTCCAAATTCGTATCCTACTGTAGATATGCCCTGGCTTGGGGTGAATGTGAAAGGTAATTTTACAGGTTAAGGGATCTACTCTGGCCGTAGGAATAATCACTCTCCAAGGATGAGATTTGAGAGGATCAGTGTTTTACCCCTTGCAAGACTGGGTGTGTTAATGGTGAGTGTCACTGTACGGACATATTGAACAGCATTTCAGTAATGTAACACTTCTCTGGTGACATATTCAGTCAAATAGTAATACAAGATCACATTGCTTCAGCATGTACAGCTGGGGTCAAAAATCTTGAACACCTAGCAATATCTGGAATCTACTTCTGAGTTGTACATATTATATGATTGGAATAACACTACTTGTCATCACATATTATGCCTCAACCACAAAATGGGATAAAACTCTCCATAATACCTAAGATCTTCGGGTACTTGTATGCCTAAGACTGTCAAGTGTTCAACACTTTTGACCCCGACTGTACTTAGTCAGTACAAGTATACAATGGTAAACAGTAAGTTAATTGAACCAAGGACAGTCCCCAGTTGGACAGGTCCTATACCAACGGTCTTGGATTTCTTGAAACGAACGTACAGCAGAGGGACTGGGTTGGTTTGCTGATTAATCTATAATCTATTTCTATTAAATTTCCATTTTCTTTCATTTCAGAGAAAGGACAGACAATATATTAATGCTAATAAATAACGTGTATACGAAATCCGCACGAACTTCCGCCAAATCCAGTGAAAATACGCTATCCACAAAGGGCCTATACTATCCGCAGTTTGAAAGAGCAACCCACTACATTTAGCGGATTTTTTGCCAAGTTGGCACCATTGGACTTGGGCGATTGAGATGGGTACTAGCCTAAAACTACTACCACATTTTGAAATTCGATTTCCTTGATCGGGTTGCCAAATTTCCTTAGATTTCATTAAAAATAAATACAAATTAAGTTTCCTTATAAATTTCCTTTGATGAAAAACTTCCAACGAAGAGAAAAAACAAATTACAGTAATTCTGTAGAGCAATTATGCCAGACATGATGAAACACTACAGGACCCCACAGAATAAATCATCATTAATATAAGCATTAAACGATATGGTACTTTTCAACCGTCCTGTAGTGACTGGCAGGCAGTGAACCTGTCTATAGTGCATATTACCTGAATAATCCTAAGTACAGTTTAAGCTTTGGAGAAGGAAGAACTTAACCAGAATTATTATATTTTGTTCTCGATGTTTTCATTATTTGATTCCATATATTCAGATTAGAAAATAAAATGTCTTACTGTACTTCCAACTCCTGATTTCCTTACAATTTCCTTAGATTTTGCATGTCCTTAAAAAACTTCTTGTGAGTACCAAATATCTTTAAAATAAGGAAGTTTCCTTGAAAGTGGAAATACTGGCGTAAGACTATTTAATTCTAGTTAGGGAGGGCATGGGTTAGGTGTCAGGGTGAGAGAAGGAGTATGGGTTAGGTGTCAGGGTGAGAGAAGGAGTATGGGTTAGGTGTCAGGGTGAGAGAAGGAGTATGGGTTAGGTGTCAGGGTGAGAGAAGGAGCATGGGTTAGGTGTCAGGGTGAGAGGAGTATGGGTTAGGTGTCAGGGTGAGAGGAGCATGGGTTAGGTGTCAGGGTGAGAGAAGGAGCATGGGTTAGGTGTCAGGGTGAGAGAAGGAGCATGGGTTAGGTGTCAGGGTGAGAGAAGGAGTATGGGCTAGGTGTCAGGGTGAGAGAAGGAGCATGGGCTAGGTGTCAGGATAAGGGTGATAAAAACAGAGTTAAAGAAAGAAATACTCACATGTACCCAGGCTTTTGGTCCTGATTCGCAGTTGTTTCTTGACGGGTTTGAGCGGGTCCAGCCATCTCTGAGGACAAGGTCACACTCATCAGCCTCCTCACACTACAAGACACACTGATCAGCCTCCTCACACTACAAGACACACTCATCAGCCTCCTCACACTACAAGACACACTCATCAGCCTCCTCACACTACAAGACACACATCAGCCTCCTCACACTACAAGACACACTGATCAGCCTCCTCACACTACAAGACACACTCATCAGCCTCCTCACACTACAAGACACACTCATCAGCCTCCTCACACTACAAGACACACTCATCAGCTCCTCACACCAGACACCTCATCACCTCCTCACACCACAAGACACACTCATCAGCCTCCTCACACTACAAGACACACATCACTCACACCACAAGACACACTCATCAGCCCTCACACTACAAGACACACACACTACAAGACTCCAGCCTCCTCACACTACAAGACACACTCATCAGCCTCCTCACACTACAAGACACACTCATCAGCTCCTCACACTACACACACTCATCAGCCTCCTCACACTACAAGACACACTCATCAGCCTCCTCACACTACAAGACACACTCATCAGCCTCCTCACACTACAAGACACACTCATCAGCCTCCTCACACTACAAGCACACACTGACCTCATCAGCCTCCTCACTCACACTACAAGACACACTCATCAGCCTCCTCACACTACAAGACACACTCATCAGCCTCCTCACACTACAAGACACACTCATCAGCCTCCTCACACTACAAGACACACTCATCAGCCTCCTCACACTATTTACAAAACTAGATATATGTATATAATCTTATTTTAGCAATTCAGAAATAAATACGAAAAATATGAATACATTTCAGACAGGTAGGCCTACACATACAGGTATAGGCGTGCCTTTTAATAACTGTAGATAAGCACCAAATAATAAACAACTATTAGATTATTGTCACCTACAGTCGATTAAAACGTTATCTTTACTGGGATGATCGATTAATTTCATGATGAACATTACGACGCCCGTTGTGTCAAAATGCGTCGCCCATTGTTTAATATTTTTTCAACATAATTTTCTTTAGTTTCAGAAGGACTGTACATTAATACTTTCACATCAACCATAGAGGAAACTATTATTTTTAATACTTTATGTGTTACCTTCTTTAATGATTATATATGTGTAAATGTTTTAATGTTTAAGTATATAAATTTATGTATAAATGCGTATATGTATAATGTTTGAATGTTTGTATGTGTATGGATGTTTATCCAATAAAATGACAGTGTGTGTGTGTGTGTGTGTGTGTGTGTGTGTGTGTGTGTGTGTGTGTCAGGAGGCAACAACAAAAGGTTACTGTTGTGTTAAAGGCGACCTGCCTCTCACATTGTTCTGCTGACCCCTATATTGATGGTTCCTCACACCCCTTTCCTCACCCCTCCTCACCCCTATATTGATGGTTCCTCACACCCTTTCCTCACCCCTCCTCACCTATATTGATGGTTCTCCACCCCTTTTCCTCACCCCCTCCTCACCCCTATATTGATGGTTCCTCACACCCCTTTCCTCACCCCTCCTATGAGTATTTGTGGAATATAAACTACCCCCCCTCCTCCTCCCGCCCCCTCTCTCAACATGACCACGACTAGGGAGGGGTGTGGAGGAGGGGGAAGGGGGGGGGTGTGTCACAGGATGGGGTCAAGTTACTTGGGTGTGTCAAGATGCTGTAAGGCGAGGGAGAGGTCGCTGCCCAGTCCTTAACTCTCACGAAACATATTGATTAGTGTGTGTCTTGCAGGCACACACACACACACACACACACACACACACACACACACACACACACACGACGATGATCCAGCAATTTGTTCGTAAGATTTGACTACAGTAGTGAATGTATAGTGTCCAGGGTGTATAGTGTCCAAGGGTGTATAGTGTCCATCTCTGTGGATGGAGGGAGGGAGGTTGTAAAGGGAGGGAGAGCCGGAGAGAGGGAGGTAGAGAGAGAGGGAGGAGGGAAGGAGGGAGGGAGCGAAGGGGGAGGGTCAACAGGAATTTAATTTAGGTGTGGGGTAGCCTGGTGGTGGTGGTGGTGGTGGTGGTGGTGGTGGTGGTGGTGGTGGTGGTGGTGTGTGACTGAGGCTGTGGTCACCATCAACAGTGAACAAAGTCAGTGACGTCATCTACAATATTGGTTTAAATGAACAATAATTACTAAGTTTATTACTATCTTAGTTGAAAAACTCCTTCTCTTATCCCTGTGTGTGTGTGTGTGTGTGTGTGCACAGAGTAGTGTAATGTGTCTAGTGTGGCAGCATTATGTTAGTGTTAAGGTACAAGCACTGCTTGCTTCCTCTCGCTTTCAGCTGCCAACGCTGGCTAGCCCTCGTGGCGAGCAGGGAAGTAACCTTGCGTAAGTCTTCCCCTGTCAGTACACAGCCTCCTCACCATCAAGACTCCTGCTGTACCTCCTCGTGGCAACACACGATATATGGGTGCCTCGTGGGCCCAGGCTAGACCAGCAAGGGATCTCGGAGCAGCAGTGGCCACCAGAGGGACGGCACATAGGCCCACTGGCATGTGGACACGTCCTGGCGCCTACCAACCACTGCCCCGCTGCCTTACGGATTAACCTTGGCAGGTATAAGGCTACGGAAGTAAACCCCGAACGGAAAATCTGCAGTAGAGCCCCGCATCAGGCAGACATGCTTACAGAGCTCCAACAAGACCCCAACGGCAGTACACTGTAGGTGGAAGAGGTGACCACCAGGGGAACCCAACGACTACACCGGCGAACGAAGGCAATGCATGATGGACAGGCTACTAAGACGAAACCCAAGAAACTGGGCTATCGGCAGTTCATTGCAACTCTCTCCAGTCGTTGCAACACTTGCACCACTGGATCAGGAAAGGGGAGAGCTAATGCATGTGGTTGCAGCCTACGCTCCTGCCTCAACACATAAATCAACTCACGCGCAGCCATCATCCAGCTCATCATCATCAAAACCCCTATACCCCAAAAGTCCTGTGGCGACGGACGAGTGGCGACGGGGACAGGCAGAGATGACTGCCGGGAGTCTCTATAACGAACTCTGCACATGGGCGGCATAGATAAGATGGTCATTTATGCACTGGGATCTAGGCAGGAGTGCAATCCAGTTCTGTCTATGTGATTGAGCAGTCCTCTCGAGGAGCCACTCTGCTCACCCCACATGGGGAGGGGGCTAGAAAAGGTGCCCTAAACATAGCCTGCCAGTAAGGTCATCCTTATGCGGTCGAAAACACAATCATAATCACAGATGAAAACAAAAACAAACCATACAACCTTTTATGGTCGCTGCATGGAATGTCAGGACCCTTCTGGATACTGGCACATGTGAGCGTCCTGAAAGAAGAACCGGCCTTGTGGCAAAAGAGCTGGCTAGGTATAACATCGACTTAGCAGCCATTAGTGAGTCCCGGCTTCCAGACGAGGGTCGACTCACAGAATGGGGGTCTGACACTACCTTCTTTTGGAAAGGTAAGCCTGCTGAGGAGAGAAACCGCATTTATGGAGTTGGCTCTGCCATCCGCCAATACATCCTACAGAGGCTAAATGAAATGTCTGTTGGGATCAACGAGCGCCCCATGATGCTCCGAGTCCCGCACTAGATGTAGCCCTCCACATGTGCAACATCTGTGGACGACCCTGCCGGTCCCGTATCGGCCTCTCTAATCACCCCAGAACTCACTAACGAAGGTGACATCCATAATAACTCATATCATTGTATCATAGCCGGATGATCGCCATACTCGATTCCTAGTGACAGCAAAGTAGTAGTAGTAGTAGTAGTGTGTGTGGAGGCAGTAGTTAGTTACTGGAGGAGCCTCGTGTATGGCCAGAAATAGTCACGCACACAGCAACGCGGTGGATCACAGCTGCCAAAATAATAGTTAAAATCACCAACTATTTCCTGGGAAGAAGGAGGCGAGGAAGGAGGAGAAGAATGAGGAGGAGGAGTAGGAAGAGGAAGAGAAGGGGGAGGAGGAACCAGTCATCTCCCTAACTAACAATATACATGATGTCTCTCTCTCTCTCTCTCTCTCTCTCTCTCTCTCTCTCTCTCTCTCATAACACCATAGCACTTTAACATTCACAACAAGTTTATTTACCCGCCAACGCTTTGATCAGTCTACAACTATATCTGACGTGGCCATGACCTTCAGGTGCTACCACCATCACCACCACCACTAGCACCACCATCACCACCACCACTAGCACCACCATCACCACCACCACTAGCACCACCATTACCACCATTACCAACCACCACCACCACCATTAGCATCACCTCCACTCACTACCACCACCACATCGCCAGGCTAAAAGCGTTCCTCAGCGTAAACTTCACCTCTTCCTTCATTCCAGGAATTTTCAAAAGAACCGACACGTTTCTGGGATTTGCTGAGAAAATCCCAGACGGATTATGACCTTGCTGAGAGAGAGAGAGAGAGAGAGAAATCCCATCAGTGAAGGAAGGTGTAGAGTTAGGTGGTAGTGGTGGTAGTAGTGGTGGTAGTGGTGGTAGTACTGGCAACAACTCTTACTACTTCTATCACCACCACCACCACCACCACCACCACCACCACCACCACCACTACCACCATCACCACCACCACCACCACCACCACCACCACTACCCCACCACCCCCACCACTACCACCACTACCACCATCAACACCACCATCACCCACCACCACTACCACCCACCACCACCACCACCACCACCACCACCACCACCACCACCACCACCACCACCACCACCACCACCACCACCACCACCACTACCACCACCACTACCCCCACCACTACCCCTACCACTACCCCCACCTGGCAGGAGTCCCATCACACATACAGCCTCACTCTTCACATTCCACAAGTATCTTAGGGGTAAAATATTTCATCTAACAACTGACGTTAAAATGTACCTTAGGTTCTTATTAAAGCTTAGATACATTTCCAAAAGCTTCGTATTTTAAGCTTCCATTCACAATAGGGATTTTGTTCCATATTTTACGGGTCTTGTTAAGCTGTGACTGTGAAGTGTTTGTGTCGTTTAATATCTTGACCCATTGATGACGTCGACCTAACCTAACCTAACCTACCCCAACCTAATCTAACCCAACCTAGTCTAACCTAACCTAATCTAACCTAACCTAACCAAAACTAACATAACCTAACCTAATCTAACCTAGTAGCGAGGGAAGGAAGGTGGGGGGGGGGATGGTGAGACACAGGTTAAGAAAAGAAGGAAGGAAGGAAGGAAGGAAGGAAGGAAGGAAGGAAGGAAGGGGGGGGGGGAGGCGAGAGAGGTAGAATTAACTAGAGAGAGACAGCGAGGCCTCCCATCCCAGTTCTACCTGGTGGCAACTAGTGGATGCCTGAGAGAAGTACTGTGAGGGCGTAGAACGGCCAGAATGTTCACTACACCTTACACACCACACCATGGCACTGTACGACACATCATGGCACTGTACGACACACCATGGCACTGTTTGACACACCATGGCACTACACGACACATCATATCACACTGCCACACCATCACCACACCCTCTATCACACCACATCTTGACCTGACACACCATACAACCACCACATTATGCCTCCACCACACCATACATGTTCCATCATACACACTCAATCATACACCATACATCACCATACCCACGACACAAACAATGTATACACCTTTAGAAACAGGTTTATGAGCATTATTTTAATGACGAATTCAATACAAAAAAGCCTCAGATTTCAACATAGTTATAAATCTGAGACAACTATACAGGGACATTGAAAAAAAAAGAATACTCAGATTTCAATATAATTAGAAATCTGGGACAATTATACACAAGGTCATGGAAAAAACAAAGTCCAGATTTTGATATATTATACCATTAGAAATCTGGAGCAGTCGTATACTGGGACAAGAAAAAATATACCCACAGATTTCTATATACAGTACTACCATAAAAAAATCCGGGCCAGATTTCTATAGACTGCCAATAAAAAATCTGGCCATTGTGTAAGTAATATATTTCAATCTGGTGTAAGAGGCGAGGAGAAGTGGTCGGTCAGGGCTAATACTTACGTGTACAGTCATCTTTATTGAGGTGGCGTCTGTCAAAGTGTCCGGGAGGAGGAGGAGAAGGGCGAGGAGAAGGGCGAGGAGGAGGGCGAGGAGGAGTATGGAGAAGAGGAGGAGGAAGAGAGAGGGGAGAGAAGGAGGGGGAGGAGGAAGAGGAGGAAAAAGAAACGTCATTACCTACCTAAATATATTCACTAGACACAGAGAGACATAGATACAGACACAGATAGGTACAGGTACACACACACAGGTACTCACTCTGGGGTTGTCACTGCTGGTGGAAGGTTCTATGTACTGGAGGCCAAAGAAATCTCTCTCTATCAACTCCAGATGATTGAACACCAGATCCAACAATGCCTGGCCCTTGGCTCGCTTCTGTAGATGAGTATTATAACTATTAGTCTTAACTACTAGTATTATAACAACAAACATTAACTACCAGTACCTACAGATTAAATATATTTGTTTAATTTAACACTGAGTAACTATTCTAACACACTTCAATTGTGATTTTAACACATGATAAATGTAACCACAATTCGGTCTGTTAACAAGTATAGTGATGGAAGTTAACACATTTTTGGGGGCTAAATTTAACAATATTAACAAATTTAACAGATTCAGTTCAGAGTCAGTGAAGCGAGTTGACGAGTTAACAGAATAGTTCAGGTCGATGTAATGCTCCTTCTGTGACCTGTCTGTGTTGCTGTTCTGAGTGGTGCTGTTATGCTGTTCTGAGTAATGCTGTCATGGTGTTCTCAGTGATGCTGTCATGCTGTTCTCAGTGGTGGTGTCATGCTGTTCTGAGTGGTGCTGTAATGCTGTTCTGATTAATGCTGTCATGGTGTTCTCAGTGATGCTGTCATGCTGTTCTCAGTGGTGGTGTCATGGTGTTCTAAGTGGTGCTGTCATGGTGTTCTGAGAAAGCTGATTGTTCCAGCTCGCGCATGACTCCCGTTGGAAGAATTCGTCTTGCGTGTAAGATCATGGAGGAGGTCAGACGTGGATATTGCAGAGTCATGACACTGCTGACATTATTCCCATGACACACACACTGCTGCTGACACTACTACCATGACACACACACTGCTGCTGTCACTAGTAGCCAGTACAATGTATACGTGTGTGCGTGTGTGTGTGTGTGTGTGTGTGTGTGTGTGTGTACCTTACCTCCACCACCAATACACACACAAACATGACAGTAGTGCCATGACAGTCTACGGGCTGACCACTCTATGTTTTAATACAATAGCTCTCCATGTCTGCCTGTCTGTCTGTCTGTCTGTCTGTCTGTCTGTCTGTCTGTCTCTGTAAACAAACTGTAATTGTCTACAAGATAAGGAAGACTGTAAACTGACCTAGTAAACAGATAATTATTGTTTATAGGGAGGAAGAGAAGGTAACTTGGATGTGTAAACAGAGTCCATTTGTTTACAAGGTAAGAGGCTGTAAATATATATGTGTGATAAGTTGTAAATACACAGATGTAAACAGGAAGGAAGGAAGGAAGGAAGGAAGGAAGGAAGGAAGGAAGGACTGACCTCTATCTCAAACACCTGGGTGGAGTCATCCAAGAGAGCCACTTGGACTCTCAGCGTCTTGAGGGCCTTGTGACGCGCCAGCTCTGAGGCCCTCACGTTGTAGGTGCCAGACGACGCACCAAACGCTCTTCTTGACACCCCCTCCAGCATCCCCTCCTGCAACACAAGCAACACTGATCAACACCCCGTCCAGCATCCCCTCCTGCAACACAAGCAACACTGATCAACACCTCCTCCTGCAACACTGATCAACACCCCGTCCAGCATCCCCTCCTGCAACACAAGCAACACTGATCAACACCCCCTCCAGCATCCCCTCCTGCAACACAAGCAACACTGATCAACACCCCCTCCAGCATCCCCTCCTGCAACACAAGCAACACTGATCAACACCCCCTCCTGCAACACTGATCAACATCTCTCTTACAACATTGATCAACACCCCCTTCTGCAACACTGATCAACATCCTCCTGCAACACTGATCAACATCCTCCTGCAACACTTATTATCACTGAACTATCACTTGAGGGCGAGGAATCTGGTCAACAACTTGAGCCACACCTACTTTATGCCCCCCCCCCCCTAGGGCCACACCATCAAACTTTCAAGGAGCAGCGTAGAATCCAGAAGGAGGACCTGGCAGGGCTTAAATCTGGCCCTGGCCCTGGCCCTGGCCCTGGCCCTGGCCGCTATACACCCAGGTCCGGCTCCCAGTTCATTAATGTTAGTACAGTATAGCTATTGAATCATTTATGACAACAAATATGAATCACAAAAACTTAACCTAACTCTACGTAACGTAACGTAACCTAACTTAACGTATCCTAACTTAACTCTAATAATAATAATAATAATGATAATATTTTAATAATAAAATAATAATAATAATAATAATAATAATAATAATAATAATAATAATAATAATAACAATAATAATAATAATAATAATAATAATAACAATAATAATAATAATAATAATAATAATAATAATAATAATAATCTCAAGTCATCGTACTCAGAGGTTTAATTAGTGTTACTTAATGTTCTTTAAATTTAAATACATCATGTAGACGACTTTTATAAGTAAGTATACTTGTGGAGTTCAAAGAGTGAGGCACTTAAGAGTGAAGCACTTATAATGAGGCACTTTACAAGTACTTACAAGCTGGCAACCGGAAAAACATGAGCACTATTAACACACACACACACACACACACACACACACACACACACACACACACACACACACACACACACACACACACACACACGTAATAAATAATAACAATAAAAGCTTATCAATAATAATTACAGTCAATTTTATAGTAGGGAAGATTGACGTAAATAGCATATGGGGAGGGAGACGAGGGAGGGGGAAAAGGAGGGAGTGGGGGGCAGGAAGAAGGTGGGGGAGGGGGAGGAGGGAGGAGAGGTTAGCAGGGAGGAGGAGGAGGGAGAGAGGTTGGGAGAGGAGGGAGGAGAGGGTTGGGGGAGGGAGGGAGGAGAGGAGAGGTTGGGGACCAGCGGCAGGTAGATGAACAACACACACCTGAAGGAGAACAAAACACACACACCCACAACACACACCTGAAGAATGAGAACAACACACACCCACAACACACACCTGAAGAAGGCATATGTGGACAAAATTGGGAAGTTTGGAGGGGAGAACCATAAAGAGAAGCATGGTGGTCGATCCTCAGGAGACAACTTCCCCAACAACCTGCACCGACTTCTGCTGCAGTTAGGCTCTCCACCACCACCACCACCACCACCACCACCAATTTGGGTACGGACCATTTACTACCACTGGCTACCTCCTCCTAATAGTGGTATAAATTGTGGTGGTAGCCTGTAGTGGTGGGTGTGGTAGCCTGTAGTGGTGGGTGTGGTAGCCTGTAGTGGTGGGTGTGATTAGCCTGTAGTGGTGGGTGTGGTAGCCTGTAGTGGTGGGTGTGGTAGCCTGTAGTGGTGGGTGTGGTTAGCCTGTAGTGGTGCGTGTGGTAGCCAATAGTTTTTAAAGTACATTAGGCCTGTAGTTTGTATAAGCTGCTGTGTGGTGAGTGTGTTAAGTGTGGTGGTGGCTTCACTCTACCACACACACACGCACACACCACACACCACACACACACACACACACACTACTCTTGTTGCGTTTCACTTTAATATTATTCCAAGTAATAAACTTTTCTGAAGCCAAAGTTTACATAATGCAAAGCCACTTATATACTTTTGTCACAGTACTAATACTTTCTTCAAGTTCACATCAGTAGTTTAAATACTATTGATATTTTCTTGAAGTAAAAAAAGTTACAAGCAAAAAAATTTCTACTCTAGTTTTAAAATTATTTGGCCAAGTTCTCGTTTTAAGTTCTTACACGAGTTTAATTTCCTTCAAGACGATTTTCTGGAAATTTTCACGTCAATTTACCAAAGTTTTTTCTTTGTCAATTTTCAGAATTTTATAGAGTAAAATAAATTTGTATTATGCTGGGAAGTTTCTTGTTTGGCTATTATTATAAACAAGACTTCGATGTTACTTAAACACTTATAAAGTAACAGGATTTTCTATTTTATGTCACTTATTCACTTCTATGGCGGCACACCTCTACTTAAAACTACTTAAATCACTTATACGGCAATAGACTCCCTACATAACTCATCTAAGTCATTAACTAGGAAGAGACTTTCTAGTAGTGTCACTTAAGGAAATCACTTATAAAGCCACTTATAAGGAAGATCTATGGTATAATACTCTTCTTCAGTACTACAAATATATCCTGGTATATTTCTCTCCCTAATTCACTATTCCAACTGCCTCGATGTTATTAGATACATCCACCAAGGACTTATTGGACGATACACTTACAATACAAGTACTTCACTCTGACGATACACTTACAATATTCCCATCAAGGCCTAAAGTTCACTTAGACAGTACACTTACTGTATATAGGCAACACATACGAAGGCTGTTAATGGCAGAGGAACAATGTAAGTGGCTAGGTTAAGTGCACATATTGAATCACGTTTAAGTGGCAAAGTTAAGTGCACATGTTGAATCACGTCTAAGTGGCAAAGTTAAGTACTCATATATCTTGAATCACGTTAAGTGGCTAGGTTAAGTACACATATTGAATCACGTCTAAGTGGCAAAGTTAAGTGATCATATATCTTGAATCGCGTTAAGTGGCTAGGTTAAGTACACATGTTGAATCACGTTAAGTGGCAAAGTTAAGTACTTATATATCTTGAATCACGTTAAGTGGCTCGATTAAGTACACATTTTGAATCACGTTAAGTGGCAAAGTTAAGTGATCATATATCTTGAATCACGTTAAGTGGCTAGGTTAAGTGCACATGTTGAATCAATTTTAAGTGGTGTGCAGTTTTGGGTCAATTTTCCATGATCATCTAATGCATAATTCCACTTGATTTCAGTTTCAGTCCAGTTTCAATCAGTTTCAAACATTTCCAGTTCAGTTTTAGTCCATTTCAAACATTTCCAGTACAGTTTCAATCAGTTTCAAACATTTCCAGTTCAGTTTTAGTCCATTTCAAACATTTCCAGAACAGTAACAGTCAGTTTCACAAATTTCCAGTTCAGTTTCAGTGCATTTTAAACAGTTCCAGTTCAGTTTCAGTGCATTTTAAACAGTTCCAGTTCAGTTTCAGTGCATTTCAAACAGTTCCAGTTCAGTTTCAAACATTTCCAGTTCCAGTCAGTTTCAGTTTCAATTTAATTTTGATTTACCTGTAATTGTCAAAACTTATGTCGTTCCCTGTAAATGAGAAGCTGTTTGATTTTTAACGAGGACATTAACCCCCTGAGTACGAGACCCCTAACCCTTGAGTACGAGACCCTTAACCACTTGAGTACGAGAGCCCTTAACCCCTTGAGTACGAGCGCCCTTAACCCATTGAGTACGAGAGCCTTAACCCCTTGAGTACGAGACCCTTAACCCCCTGAGTACGAGACCCCTAACCCTTGAGTACGAGACCCTTAACCACTTGAGTACGAGAGCCCTTAACCCCTTGAGTACGAGCGCCCTTAACCCATTGAGTACAGGGCCAGTGTGTGTACAGGGCGAAGGTATATTTGAGGACGGTTCATAACCACGACAGGACACTCAACCACCACTACCTGCCCCACCACTCAACCACCACTACCTGCCCCACCCACTCAACCACCACTACCTGCCCCACTACACTCAACCACCACTACCTGCCCCACCCACTCAACCACCATACCTGCCCCACCCACTAACCACCACTACCTGCCCCACTACACCTCAACCACCACTACCCTGCCCCACCTACTCAACCACCACTACCTGCCCCACCCACTAACCACCACTACCTGCCCCACCCACCAACCACCACTACCTGCCCACTACACCAACCACCACTACCTGCCCCACCCACTAACCACCACTACCTGCCCCACTACACCAACCACCTACCGCTCCCCACCCACTCAACCACCCACTACCTGCCCCACTACACTCCTACTACCCCACTCACATCACTAGTCCCTCCCACCACCCTACCCCCACTCATCTACCATCCCACAAAGTGACGTCAGAAAGAGTTAGGTCGAATTGTGACGTCACTTCCGCCTGAGTCAGCCACCTAGCCTTACTTTATCACCGCTCCCTAAGACAAGTTATGCTCACATGTCTCTCTTAACGTCAAGCTACAGATGGTACGGTCAAGAGAGAGAGAGAGAGAGAGAGAGAGAGAGAGAGAGAGAGACTGACTTACAACTCAACCATATATTTTTTCACCAGGTAAGCAATCGTCAGGTAACAAGTGACAACACCTGGCCTGTTTGCATCACGTCAGCCTCACACGTCAAGGTTTGTTTACAGGATGTATTGTAGCAAACAAGAGAATGTTATACAGCTTGAGTTTCTCTTGTACGTAGTAACTTTCAAGATGGTAGAGAGTTGTTTACAGGGGAGAGGAGGAAAGATGAGGGAAATGGAGGAGAAATGGGAAGAAGAAGAACAATACAGCAGGAAAGAGGGGAGGGGAGGGGGAGAAGGGGTGGGGAGTAAAGAGAGTGGGAGAGGACGTGCAGCAGGAGGAAGAGGGGTGGGAAGGGGAGGGGAGGGAGGGAGGGGCAGGAGAGGACGTGCAGCAGGAGGGAAGGGTCGGGGATGGGGGAGGGGGGGAGGAAGAAGGTGGGAAGGGAAGGGGAGGGAGGTAGGGGACGGAGGACGTGCAGCAGGAGGGAAGGGTCGGAGGATGGGGAGGGGAGGGAGGGGTGGGAAGGGGAGGGAGGGGAGGTAGGGAGAGGACGTGCAACAGTCAGGAGGGGTGGGGGGAAGGGTCGAGGGATAAGCAGGGAGGGAAGGGGGGGATGGGAGGAAGGGGGGTGGAGGAGCTGAGGAGGTAGGAGGACGTACAGCAGGAGGGAAGGGTCGTAGGATGGGGAGGGGGAGGAAGGGGGTGGGAAGGGGAGGAGGGAGGGTAGGAGAGAGGGACGTACAGCAGGAGGGAAGGGTCGTAGGATGGGGAGGGGGGGGAGGTGGGAAGGGGAGAGGGAGGTGGGAGAGGACGTGCAGCAGGAGGGAAGGGTCGTAGGATGGGAGGGGGAGGAAGGGGGGAAGGGGGGAGGGAGGGGAGGTGGGAGAGAAGGGACGTACAGCAGGAGGGGGAAGGGTCGTAGGATGGGGGGAGGGGTGGGGAGTAGGAGGTGGGAGAGACGGACGTACAGCAGGAGGGAAGGGTCATGCAGGATGGGAGGGAGGAAGAGGTGGGAAGGGAGGAGAGAGGACGGCCAGGAGGAAAGATTCATAGGATGGGGAGGGGGAGGAAGGGGGTGGGGGTAGGGGAGGGGGAGGTAGGAGGGACGTACAGCAGGAGGAAGGGGTCGGGATGGGAGGGTGACAGGATCGAGACAAACCTGCATCTGGGGGCCGACAGGTTGTGTGGGAGGCACCATGCACTCTGTCTAACCGTGTTGCTATGCTGCCTGCCCCACACACCACCCCCACACACTACCATGGCCATGGCCCCACACACACCATGGCCCCACACACACCCATGTATGGCTACACTGCCATGGCCCACCTCATATTTACACTGTATTTACCATGTTACTGTATTTACCTGTGGCTCATGGCCCCACCACACACATTTACCATATTTACACCATGTATTTACCTCTGCCATGGTACACACACCTCTCATACTAACATTACACTGTATGTTACACCTCTGCAGCTCCACACTGTGTTCTACACATGTGTGTTTACCTCTGTGTTACTACCATGTTCTGTTACCTATATACCATTACACACTATACCCTACCATGTATTACACACTGCCATGTTACACCCTCACCCCCACACACCATGACCCCACCACCATGACCCCACACACAACCATGGCCCCACCTCTGCCATGTTACACCCCACACACACTGCCATGGCCCCACTGTGGCCCACTGCCATACCTGCCATGTTACCTCTCACCCACACACACTACCACACTACCATTACACACAACATTATTACCACTCTTCATGGGCCCCACCTGCTACCCCCACACACCACTGCCATGTTTACCACCTTATCTCACCCCACACACTGCCATTTTTACCACTCCACACTACACATATGTATTTACCATGTTACCTACCACACCCACTGTATTACCACTGGCCCCTTCACACTTTTAATATTTACACACCATGGTATTTACTATATTTACACCTGCCATGGCCCTACCACCCCACACACTACCATGTTACCACTGCCATGGCCCCCACACACCTACCATGTCCCTCTCTTTGTATCTGCTACACTACCATATTTACCTCTACATGGCCCACACTACTCTATTTACCATTTACACACCACCACCCCCACTACCACCACAAACACTATCACCACACACATCACTCACCCCCACACTCTACCATACCCCCACAACCCCACACACCCACAATACAAACGTGAGATCAATAAACTTATTCCAGTAAACTTTCTCAATAACAGCCTTCTAAATACACTAATGGAGAGAGAGAGCTTTGGACTCTTGCCACGGGTCATGCATGTGCACTCTGACGCAAATATAGACACGACAACCACTACCACCATTGCTACCACCACTACTACCACCATTAATACCATCACTCCCACTACCACCATTACTAACCATTACCACCACCACCACCACCACCACCACCAATGCTACCACTATTACCATCACTACCACTGTTATCACCATTACCACCACCACTACCATCACCATTACCACCACCACTACCATCACCATTACCACCACCACTACCATCACCATTACCAACACCACTACTACCACCATCCCTGCCACTACCACCAGTACACCTACTACTTACTGAGAGAGCATTGTTCAGG